GCCCGAAGTATAGTTTTCGCTTGGTGTCCTATCGGATAATTCCGGAAAATTAAGGTCACCGTCGGTGAACACCGGATCAAAAAGATGAAAAAAATAATCAGCAAAAATGGAATAATTAGCATAATTGATACTCAAAAAAAAAAAAAAAAAATAGGGATTTTGAAAAATTTGGGCCGGCGGATAATGCTAAACGAAAAATCAACTTTGCATGGCCTTAAGTTTAGGTTAAAGTAAAGCCGGGTTGGAAAAGGGCATGGCTTATACCAACATTTTGCAAAGAATTTTTTTTGTTAAAACATAAAAGATGGTTTCATAGTTAAAATCTTGAGTTATCGGCGATTATTTAAAAAAAGCAATTTTTGTTTTGATTTTGCGTTACACCTGATCTTGAAATTTGATTGGCTTATAGGATGTGGCTACAGTAATCGCGGTTACAAATTTATCAATCCATAATAATAATAATAATAATAATAATTGAATAGTAATGATTTGGAATACTAAGGATCTGCATATGTATAAATATATATTAATATTGAAAGTATTTTGATGTGCTGAAACACTTTTTGAAATTATTTTCATTGCACATAATTCAAATGGATAGCCGCCAATAAAAATCAAGTAGATTAACATTTTTAAAAAAATTAAATGCTTTAAATTTCAATGCTCATATCTCGATTAATTTCAAAGTTATTCTTATGATTTATAGTCAAAGAAAGCTTAAAATCTAAGCTTTTTTTTGCATTAAAATCATGTGCATATTTTCAAAGTTAATTGAAATATGAGAAATGAAAGTTATGGCATTGATTTTTTTAAAAATGTCAACCTACTTGATTTCTATTAACGGTTGCCGAATAACAAATGAGTTTGCTATAATTCATGAAAACCAGACTATTCATAAGGACCTACATAGTGGCAGTATACTTATCTTTGGTAATTATATAAATTTGTAAAAATTGAAAATTTTGAAATAAACAAATTTGTAAATATAGTATAAAGTGTAGAAGAGGTCTATGATATAACTTTTATATTATACCAGGAATATTCAATTAAGAAAAATATACTACAGCTTTAGATAAACATAGCTTTGAAATGGATATACTGGAATTAATGAGTAGTATAAGCCTTTTTCTAATCATAGTCTTGATAAATTTTCTATTTAGATATTCTTAATGGTTCTTTATCTAAAAATCATCTATAACACATTACAACTGTTTGTTGAATTAATGAAAAATGTTGGAATGCACTAAAAGATTAACCGTAGATTATATTTACCAATAATTAAATAATATAAAATTAGATAATACAAAGTAAATATCACTAAACTTTGATAATTTTGGTGTATTATTAATACAAATTCTCAAGGAATAATTGTTAGCCAATCATTAAGTTCTCTAATGAATATTGTATTAATTTTACAAAAGATAGAAATCAACAAGAGTATAACCATTTATAGTAAATAATAAAATTACTGAATTGCAATATTGTTGATTGCAGCTTATAGTAAAATTAATTACAGTATAATATTTGAGTACTATTAAAACTGCAAACTATAATTTTGTATTGCTAACCTTCTAACCTTCTTAGAAATTATTTATAGAAGCACTAACTAAAATTATATATTTGTCAGTATGGTAATTTATATTATAATATAAATTTAACTTTATAAAGTCTATAAGCTATTTTATATTACTAATCTATTTATTGCAGTACAACACTGTCGCTAGAATAATAAATAAGCTATAAAAATCAGAAATAAAATACTATAAAATACCAATTAATAGGTTAGAAGTTATATCTATGCTTGCTGACTAAATTGAAGTGTCAACTGCTGAAAATATACTTTCTAACCTCATAGCATTACTAGTGATGTGCAATGCGCATGACATGCGCATGATGCGCATGACATGCGCATGATGCGCATGAAATTGTAGAATCATGCGCATGATTTTTTATAATGCTGGTAAGTTATCTAATTGTCCGAAGGACATTACTGTAGAGGCATAGAGCACTCGATGTCCGTGTGTCCGCAAATTACGGATTTTAATTGGTTGATCAAATCAAACCAATCATTATTCCGAAAATAGCCGTTTTGTCGGACTGATCCGTGTTGATTTTTCCTTCGGACTTAAAATGGTTTCCATTAGCCTAGTATACGTAACATTTTGAGCAATGCAATCACTTGGCGTAATAAGATTATGATAATCTATAATGTTTCAAATGACATGTACGATATTCACAAAGCAGGTCTAATCCATAGGTAAGTTGTGTATTGACTTCTATTTCATTAACATATATTAAAAATTAACCAAGTTGAATTCTTTATCAGAGATATCCACCCTGGAAATGTACTTCGTTTAATGGATGGGTTTGAATTTATTAACATTAATGATTTAGGTCTCTGCATTTCACAATCAAAAGCTAATGAAATCAAGGAAATCATGGGAGTAATGCCTTATGTTGCTCCAGAATTGTTTAAAGGCGGTAAATACTCAATTGCAACAGACGTATATGCTTTCGGAATTTTAATGTGGGAATATACATGGGTGCCGAAATTATTTTTGAAAAATCGTATTTTCGGCAAACATTTCGGCATTACTAAATTTTTATATGAAGCCCTTCGAAATAACTATATTATATGATGTATTTTGATGAAAAGAGTTCAGAAAATTTAGTCAATAATTTCGGCAAATATGAAAAATAATTTCGGCACTACATAAGACTAATTTCGGCTGCCTAAATGCTGTAATTACTTTTTTATTAAGATGGGCAATTTCGGCACCCATGTATATGTGGGAAGTTAGTTCCAGTGAAAGGCCTTATCATAATACTGCTCATGATCCACAATTGGCTATCCAAATATGTGAAAGTAATCTTCGTCCACAAATTACCGAAGATATACCACAATTCTATTATAACTTAATGCAGAAATGCTGAGATCATGATCCTGTGCAACGACCAACTGCTAAAGAAATATTCGAACTGATCGAAAGTTGGCTTTTTTACTCTACTGAAGAGATTGAAAATCAAATTGTGAAAGCTGATGAAATTCGCCAACAAAAAACAAGGATAAATGAGAAGAAACAAACCTACCATCCTGAGGCTTTTTACATGCCGAATAATGCCCAATTTCCAAGAAGGAATAATGCCAAATTTTCAAGAAGGTAAATGCTGTATGCTTGATTTTATGCATAAAACATTATTTAATTTATTACATACTTTTCAGAATATTGTTCTATGGGCCTTAATATGGTTCTTGATTAGGGTGAGCACTGCCATGGCATCCCAGTAACCTAAACAACTATTGGGCATGCAAGCTTAGCGAACTTTCATTGTGATTGTTTAGATTTTGTTGATCATCTCATGATTAATCAAATTGTGTAATGATCGTAGAATAGTGACGTATGTAATATTAATATTGGTTCTTAGAGTTTTACTTAAATATTAAGACACATCATTATGTACACAAGAATTGCCCTTAATACCTTTATAAAGAATAAATATCGAAAAATGTCGAGAAATATCGAGCTTACTATTGTGAGATCAATAAGCTTTATCTATTCTATCAATAAACACAAATCATTTTCGTCTTTCCATACGTTTTTATTAAATACTGCGGATGATACAGAAATTTGAGGATTTCAATTTGAAAATATAAACATATCAAAATCCACCTATACTCTTCTGCTAACAACACTAACCTAAATCCTACCTTTACACTTAAAAAGCTAAAAAGATGTACTTCAAAAAATTTAAAAATCGTACATATTTAAATACAAATTTTAACATCATTAGTAATATTAAATAACAACTACTAATTATCAAAATTACCGATCGTGGCAATGCTATTAAAACTTCGTACCATTATCCAATATTTGAACCTAAAATCATTCTGTGAAGTATATTAGCAAAGATCAAAAAAGTAAAATAAAATAAAAGTCATCTTAAAAGTAAAAATAGCAAAAACATAGAAAAATAAACATATCATCTAACCTATTGTTTTTAAGCTGCAAACGTCTTGACGAACAATTAAAAATCGTATAGTTTAAATAGATTACAAACTAAAAAAAAGGTTTAGAATACTCAAAAAGTAGCTCTCATCTAACTTCCGAATTACTTTGCAATTACCCAAATACTTTACCGTTTTGTGGAGAGGAAGGTATAGTTTCTACGAATTCGTATTCGTGACTGCAAATCCATTCTTATGATAGAAAATCGTTACTTTAAGAATATTTAGTATGACGATCACAATAATGTTCGCTATGCTTGGCATGCAATTTATTATAATACGTATATATGCCGTACTATACTATGGTTTTAGAATCCATTGAGATTGATTTCAAATTCTAAATCATATTCGAGTTGTTAAAGAATTCATCTTACAATAAATTTTAGTTACTATGAGAATTATTAATGATGCTATGCAAATTAAACATTAAATAAAATTTTTACATTATGGTTACTAGGATGATAATTACTACCACAAAGAAATAATTTTTTAACATTTACAATATATTTTAAAAGGTGCTCTAAGATCAGATCCTGGACATAATTCTTCAAATAAATTTTTAATGTGAAACCATTCAGTTCTAGATAGGTATTCTAAAATAAATTCACTCAATTTCAATACACAAATTTGAAAATTAATAATTTTTTATTGTAAACAGTTAAGGCTATATAACGTTAAAAACAGATTATACGTTTAACCTAGTTATTGTTGCTATCATTGCTGATTTTACCTCTTGTTTGGTGATTATGTAACAATCACGGGTACTATCGAATGTACAATTTGAACCGGTATATTATTTGTATACATGATGCGACAATAAGGTAATATAGGGCATTATGGGCATAAGTAGTCTTTAATGCATAAACGTTATAGTATTTATAATATATTTAGGCAATTACTTTCATTATATATATGGACAGTATTCGCCTCACTTCATACCAAGTTCGTAAGCTTGCCATTATACTGTTATAATTAATAAAAGACGCCTATTAGATTATAATTTTGACACGTACTCTTTCGAATTGCAAATCACTATATGCTAGCCCTCTCTCTTGTCTATATACAAACAACTTAATATACCACTGCACGATTGTGCCTCCATAGTCATGTGGCTCATTGCTATCGGTTGTATCGAACCTTGTGTGAATTTTGAAGACTGTTCTGTGAGCTGCGACATCTAATTCTGTGTAGCCAAGGCGTTCTGCGTGAATAGCCTGCAAGAATAAAAGAAATTCTATGTTAGTTTTGAAACTATAATCAGACATATATCTTCAATCCCAGCTATGATTCCCGCACAGTCCAAACAAATTTTAATCAAATCGCTGATAGTTTTGAGGCAGAGATAAAAGAATGAAAGTGAAGAGTCAGTAGTGAGTGATGGATACGATCAACAAATCTTAATAATGAATGTCTTTAAGAAGATGAGTCCCAAAAATTGAAGTTTGTTAGTTTGCTAGAATTTGTCACACGAGTTCTTTTTATACGTACACAAACTACGCTGCAAAACAACTTGGTCATGAAATTTATTACATTCCAACTCGTAACCAATGGGTGCTGGTCAAAATCTTGATAGGTCATAATCCCAACAAAAAAAATCCCGACAGTCAGAATTTTCAAGTAGAAAATCCCAAATATGGGGCATGTTTAAAGCGAAATATTATCTTATAATTTAATTAACTTTAGGGTTATGTCATTTTAGATAAGGGTTAGGTTAGGATTGGCGATATTTTTCCATTAGAATTTTTAATTGTCGGGGTTTTAAATTGTCGGGGTTTTAACTGTCGGATTTTTGGCTGTCGGGATTTTTGTCGGGATTATAACCTGCCGGTATTTCGCTTTTCGGAATTTCGACCCAACGTTACGAAAAAATGACGTAGCAAAATTAACATTATACTTTTTTGGTGTAGCATTATAATAGCTTATCTTGTAATTAAGTAATTATCAAAGTAATTATCAATATAACGATCATTACGACATTTATAGAATTAGCTCATACTTTACATTTTGTATAATAGCTAATTAGAGCCTAATTGATAAAGAGTTATAGAACGCTAATAATGAACACTGGTTAGATGAGGAAGGTCCTTAGAGATTTTAAGAGTTATTATTTTTGAAGGATTCTTTTGTGTACTGGGTACACTTTGGGAAGATACTTGTATCGGTTACGTTTGAGTTACATTTTTCTTGTCTTGAATTTGCTTCACAGATTCTATCGGTTGGAATTATTTACATGCGACAGTTTTTTAACATATGACATCTTGGCTAGAGTTAGCATTGTTTGTGATATTAGATTCAAATTTTGTGAGGATATCAAAAGGTATTTTCTTTTGATATTAATGTGATTATTCGATAGTTCTCACATTGCACCTAATCTTGTCCCAACTAATGCTGACTATCTAGAATTAGAAAGTGTGAGTAAAAATTAGTGAATGTGTGGATGTAAATATATACATACGTACATTGCGAAAGGCTTCGGGGCTCCAGTTCTACTATTCTTTTTGATTATTATTATGTGATTTATTTTATAGTGCTATAGCACTATGGTGCTAGGGTATTGTGACCAATTAAAATTTAAGATCAGGTGAAACTTGCAGATCACCCTTTGTGTAACAAAAACAATAAATTTTTAAAAAATTAAAATTTTACTTAAAAAACCATCTTTTATATTTTAATAAAAAATATTCTTGCAAAATTTTAGTATAATATATGCTCTGGCTAACCTTAATTCCAGCTTTAATTTAAACCTAATTAAAAGTCTTATTTTTTGTAAAGATTTGATTGTTTTGATTTACATGTTACATCAATTTTGTATTTATATATAGAGTAGCACCACAGCACTATAACACTATAATAATATTTTCATTATTTTATTATTCAATTTTATTTATTTATTTATTTAGTTTGATATATTTTTTTGTTATCACTTAATATAAAATTGAAAATTCAATGAGTTGTTAGTCATAACCTCCAAAATAGTAGTAAAAAATGATCATTACTTTAGATAGAATTCTTTATACATAACCAGAAATAGAACTTAACTACATAAATAATTAAAAAGTTTATATTTAAATCAATATCTTAATCATTTTTAAAAATATAATTTTAAAATTAATATATAAGGAAGAGGTATTGTGGTCAAGTTAAAGTTTCTACAAATAAAACTATTATTTGAACTATGCTTAATAAAGAATAAAATACTATAAAAATCTTTATATTATATTTATTTTTAGATATAATAATTAGTACATCAATAGAATATAAACACCAAATTCTAGAAAGATGAGAGGTATAGTAGCCAATTATTTAACTATAAATAATTTTTGATCTACTGGTCTGTTTAAATAATTTCATAGACAATTCTAACAAGCACAAAATCATTAAAATCTAATTATAGAATTTCAAGATTGTTAAAGATTTATATATAAAAATTTATATATTGACTTATATAATTTTTTACAAATTTAATTACAAATAGCTAGCAGTGATCATCACTGGCTATTTCTAGTAAAGATGCTACATATAAAGTTCCTGATATAAATTCGCATCAATGCTTTGCCAATATATCATCAAATAATATGTATGTGAAGCAGCTAATAATTCTATAACATAATTCTTTTTGATTGAACTTTACAATAATAAAAGCTATATATATTATAATTATAAGTACTTTTTATTGATGGAATATTGTTTAGAATAAAATACAGCTAAAATTCTTGCTAGACAATGCTATTATGCTTATAAGTAGTAATACAGGTTGATAAAAAAATCATGGGCTGGTTTGATTCTAAAAAAGCTTAGGCCAGTCAACCAGATCGACCTTTTTGCTAGTATAATTTTTTTTGATCAAAGTCAGTCAACATATCTATATTAAATATACAAAAGGATTAAGTAGTTTCTTGTCGAATTCTTGTGATATTAAATGATTTAA